AGTGCGGGCTTTCCGGGTCTGCAGCTCTCTTTTTTTTTTTTTTGGAAATTTTTCTGTGCTCCAGGTCAAGCTAGCCAAATCAGTTCCCAAACCTTTTGACTGAGCAACAGTCAATCGGTTAAGCACCATATGTGGTGCTACAACTGGCAAGTATCCTCCCCTAGACATTTTAACCTGGGGCTTCAGATACTCCCAAATACACTGGCAGGCATCCAATGTGCAGGCCCAAGCCCAGAGGATTGGGGTTTGGATGCCCCCAAATCTCACTTGCCTTTAACCAAAGGCCACAGGAACAAGCAAGGGAGGAGCTCCTAATTTCCATAAAGTAAGCATGTAGCCAAGATCCAACCACTGGAAGCTGGCCAGTGGGAAGCTAATTATAAAACTCGTAAGGCTTCCTGCTCACAGTGCATTGGACAAGGGTGCACTCTCTGCTACACAATGCCATTCAAGTCTACCCTTGTCCTGAGGGTTGACCACGGTCTCCCCTGCTGCAGCCCTCTTGCTCCCACAATGTTCCCCCAGCAGCCACCAAGATGTTACTGCTGGCTTCACTTGGGCCTGGGCTTATATCCTGCTTAAGCCCAGCGCACCTCCGGTCAGCTCTGGCCACACCTACAGGCTGTTCCAGCTGTAGCTTGCCTGCTCTTAAAAGTGGCAGGAGCCCCAAACCTCCTGCCACACTGCTTCCTCGCTATGTGGTGAGTCATTGTCTGCACCTAGACTGGAAAGTGCAGTTGAATTTCCCACTTGCAAACTTACTGGGGGCTTACTGGATCATCGCCTGCTGGAATTCACCATCCAGCGCAAGGTGGCAAAGGCCTGCAGCAAGGCAGCAGCCCTGGACTTCGGGAGGGTGGACTTCAATGAGGTGAGGAGAATAGTCGGGGAGAAACTGAGGTCCCGGAGGGGAGAGGAGTTGGGTGTCCAAGAATAGCGGTCGTTCCTTAAGGAGACGATCCTCCAAGCCCAAAGGGAGGTAATCCCAACACGGATCAAAGGAGGCAAGAGGGCGCAAAAGCCCCCATGGCTCACCAAAAGCATATGGGAACGTCTCCTAGCTAAAAGGGAGGCATACACCCAATGGAGGGGAGGGGCCATCCCCAGGGAGGACTACACCTCGGGTGCTCAGGGCTGCAGGGGGGCGGTCAGGAAGGCCAAGGCGGAGATGGGACTGGGACTAGTGACCTGGATCAAGGACAACAAGAAATCCTTTTTTAAATATATAGGGGGTAAAAAGAAGGTACTGGGTAGCGTGGGGCCTCTGCAGGACACGCTAGGAAATCTGGTTGTTGCACCAGACAATAAAGCTAACCTATTTAACGATTTCTTTGCCTCCATTTTTCTGAGCAGGGACTGAGTCACCACCCCCACCGGGACTCCCGTAGGCCCCGGGGGAGGCACACCCAGGCCTAGGGTCAGTGAAGACCTAGTCAGGGAACTTCTGGAGGGACTAGATGTGTTTAAATCAGGAGGTCCTGACGATCTCCACCCCATAGTGCTGGGGGAACTAGCAGAGGTCATTGCGGGATCCCTGGCACGGCTTTACGAGCACTCGTGGTGTTCTGGTGTGGTGCCAGAGGACTGGAAAAGGGCCAATGTGGTTCCCATTTTCAAAAAAGGGAGGAAGGAGGACCCAGGAAGCTATAGGCCTGTGAGTCTTACCTCAGTCCTGGGTAAGCTTTTTGAGAGAGTTATCCTGGCGCATGTCCACGACGGACCAGCAGGGGAGATTATGCTTAGGGGCAACCAACATGGGCTCATTTGAGGCAGGTCCTGTCAGACCAACCTGGTGGCATTCTATGACCAGGTCACCAAATCCCTGGATGCAGGTGTTGTGGTGGATGTAGTCTTTCTGGACTTTAGGAAGGCCTTCGACACTGTCTCTCTCTCCCCATTCTCATAAAAAAACTAGGAGACTGTGGCGTCGACACCTACACAGTCAAATGGGTCACTAGTTGGCTGGAGGGCCGCACCCAGAGAGTGGTGGTGGACGGGTCTCATTCGACCTGGCAGAGGGTAGATTCAGGGGGTCACAAGCTGGCAGAGGGTAGATTCAGACTAGACATCAGGAGGTGCTACTTCACTGTCAGGGTGGCTAGGATCTGGAACCAACTTCCAAGAGAAGTGGTGCTGGCTCCTACCCTGGGGGTCTTTAAGAGGAGGCTGGATGAACACCTTGCCGTGGTCGTTTGCCCCCCGTACTCTTTCCTGCCCATGGCAGGGGGTTGGACTCGATGATCTGCTCAGGTCCCTTCCAACCCTACCAACTATGAAACTATGAAATCTATTATATCCACTTGAAACAGCCTCCATTGGAAAGTGCACCTTGACACTGGTCTTCTGTGATGTTT